GGATCATAAGTTAAGGACTGCTTGGACTAGAAAAGCAGACCCTGTCAAAGAAATGGAGTAAAGGAAGGGAAGGGAAGGGGAGGGGAGGGGAGGGGAGGGGAGGGAAGGGAAGGGAAGGGAAGGGAAGGGAAGGAAAGGATAAAATGACAAGTTATAGCTAAGTGCTAGAGAAGTTACTCAGCATGTGCAAGGCCTTGGGCTCAATGCCTAGCACCACACATATACACAAATTATTTGATATTAATCCATACAAAACTTATTTGAACTATGGATGCACCTCAGGGGCTGAGCACTTGCTTAGCATGTGCAAGTCTCTGAGTCCCACCGCTTACATCTCAAAAAAAAAAAAAAATACAATGACAAGAAAACTGCAAAATCAAGATGCTAAGAGTTAAGAACTTTCTTAACAGTTAACTGACAGACAATGCATGTGCTGATTAAACCGATTGATAAACAATGGATGTGATGATTAAACCAATGGAGTTGTTCCGCAAAGCCTACATATTGCCAAAGTTCACAGTCTTTGTCAATTTAAGAAGTAAAGTATTCAGTATCTAAAGTAGTAGCTTGGACACCAGTGAATGGGCTCAGCTGATAAAGGCACCTGCCATCAACCCTGGCAACCAGAATTCCACCCTGTGTTCCATGAGGTGGACCTTCACGTACATGCACTGCACCACACACACACACACACACACAGAGAGAGAGAGAGAGAGAGAGAGAGAGAATGAATGAATGAATGAATGAATGAATGAATGAATAAGGAAACACTTTGAAGTACTATCTTGAAGCCTCTTGCTTATGTGTATTTTTCAATTTTGAATTCCTAGATTGCTGCATGAGTATAGGTCAAATCCACGTGTTGCATTTCTTTCCTCCAGCCAGTGTCCCCATGCTTTGAGAAGAGTTAAGACCTTAACAAAATTTTATTGAGTATATGACTGTTTAACTTACATGTGTATAAATATACAGCAGAAACCATAAATAGCACAAACCAAAGCCTTTTTCTGCAATGCAGTGTGAAGATAGGCATTTGTACCATTTCGCATTTATTTTTAATTTTATTTAAATACACCATTGTTGATCCAAAAATTTATGATTTTCCTTCAAATTATATATTAATTACCACAATTTCTTACTTACTTTCTCATCTGTCTAGAAGAGCTATATAAAGACACCCAAGCGTGTGCACGTGCACCCTCAGCTGAGCTGCGCTTCATCTCATCTTCCGGAGAACACCATTTTCATGGCCATCCATTTTCCTAGCCATTTGCTTTTTAAGACCATCCATGTGTTCAGCCCCAGTAACCATAGTGGGGCTGGCTGTTCATTTCACTTCTGCCATCGCTGCCATCCACTGATCACCATGGCTAATCAGACGGCACGCCAGCCTGCACCAATCATTAAGATGACCCAAATTAACAGTCCAGCCATGTCACAGTACATTCATTCCACATACACAGACATGGCCTAAGTATGAGGCGGAAACCGGCATGTGCTTATCTGTATTTGCACTGTAGCTAGCTTTATTGATTATCATGATATGCTTTGGCACTTAAAATCTGCAAATGGGAATCATTTCCGAATTATTCCAAAGACAAAGCGGATGTGCCTTTTCCTCCCAGCAATTCCCTTCATTTGTCTTTTTCCCTCCAGTTGGATTGTAAAACACTACAGATTAACACATGCTCAGCTCTTTACTTAGAAGGGACTTTTAATCATATTAGTTTTCTATCTTAAAAAAGAAACTCTTTTTTTCCTAGCCAGGTAAACAGGGCAGTGCAGACTCAGAATTGTGAGTGCATCATCAAAATTTTGTGACCTAGTTGTCTTGTAGATGGTAATGGTAGTCAGTAAAACTCAGTTCTTAACAGTTATACAAGCAACCTTATCTTAACCACAGCTATGACTGTTGGCACCTTGCAATGCCTGGTGTAAATTTATCCTCCAAATATTTGCATTCTCGATAGTCATTTTTCTACAATACAGTCTAATAATTAGAGGGTTCCATTACCTGCTAAATGTTTGCATAAATTATCAATCCATTATGCACAGTAAGTTTTATAAAACATTTACAGATAGAGATCATGTTTAATTAAAATTAACTTCCATATGTAAGCCAAGTGTGCACTAATGATTCAGGGTGACCTTTTATTACCTATAGTCCCTTGTTTTGGATGGATGATTGACAGCTTGCTGTTTGGCTACCATGTTGAATTTTAGCTGACAAGACTTTTCATTTTAACTCAATTTGCCCGCCTATCACAAGCTGGTGGCAGGCCAGACCCCAGTCACCCAGCTTTGCCTCAGCAGCTCGCTCTAGTTCTCATTAGTACGCATTTATTCAGTGGGAATTGGGAGACAAATGCTTGAAGGCATGTGAACTAAGTATAGCAAATGAGGTTTAAAGACTGAATATTTATAAGTATATGGAAAGTTGGTTGTTTTTTTTTTTTTAATTCTAGAGCAAATTGAGAACCAAGTGCTAGCTTTAGTATAAAAGAAATGAAGATAGAAGGGGGACAATTCTAAGAATAAAAATACTATAAGCCTTTTCTTTCCATTTTGGAAATATGTAAAATCTCTCTGACAACACCTTATCAAACAAAAACCTGGCTTCTCTTTTACGGAATGCTTGCACAATGAAGTTTAGCACCCCATGCGTGAGAAGGGGGGAAAACTAAGGGTCATGTTCATTTGTTGCTTGGTTATCCCTTGGTATGTTTTAAACTGCCTTGTTTGTTCGGCACTAGCGCAGAAACAGATGTTGCTCTACCGTGCCGGATAATTTACTGTACCTCCTGGTGTAGCATGGAAGTCCTCCCAGGGCCCAGCTGGTCTGTCAGTGGCACTGGCTGGTGTCTGCTCAACTATGACAACGACAAGGAGAAGCTGTAGTTGTTTTTTTTCTTTTTTTCTTTTTTCATGGTACCATTGTCATTCTTCTCAACCTATAGTTCTGCCCATGCTCATTCTGGGGCTGATGGAATTGCGGCTGGCTTTTGTGTCTCAGTGCTGTGCCGCAGACCCCAGAAGCTCCCTTCTCCACTGGCGATAATAACACAACTCATTACTTTTGTCGCCTAATGATTATCGGCATGATCGCTCAGAGCAAGAGCCAACCTCGTCTTGCACACATAACTGGTACTGGAAGGTAAAACAGATTTGTCACTTACGATCTGACTGCTGAGCCACACTTTCAGCTCCATTATTGTGATTAACTTCTGCATAAGATATGCTTGCCCAATTGTCATTTGTGATACTGCAGTGGGCACAAGCTGCCATGCTTCCCAGGAGCACACCAGCCAATCGGATATGACTGTGTTATTCGGACTGTTAAATGCCTACCCTTGTCACAGCAGCCACCCCAAGCATTATTTTGCTTTTGTATTTCTTCTTCCCACACCCTACTGGACTTGTTGTGTGAACAGAACTAATACATATGCCAGCTACTATTTCATACCACATGTTAAAATGATGCCATGCTATTGTTGGTCCAACAGGGCCAGCAGCAGAACATGGAAGGTAGATCCTTGATTTTCACCATAGAAATGTTGGTTGTTGGTGTCTTGCCAACTGAAATCTGTCATGTCAGGTGCCTTGTGGCTATCTACAGTAGAGTCCATGTTCCAAAACCAAAGTTCTTTTCTAGCCTCATCACCAGCAAACCGATTTGACTCTGCCTGATTATAATAACGAAGGCAGTCTAAGAGAATATGCACAGCCTCACTATACGTCACATTGAATCACCACACTGCCCACACAGAGCTGACCGCAGCCTCATTTCTTTAGACAAACGCATGCTTAAGGAAAAACCTCCTGGGAGAAGGCACCCAAAGCTACTACATGTCCCTGTACAAGCTGTTCATAGGTTTACATTTTACCAAAATAATGTTTATTTCTGTGGGGTTTTTTTTTCTGTGTACAAGCCCCCCTAATGGGTCTGCCTTTAATAATCTAATAACTGGGAACTGGCTGACAGAACTGTGCTCGGCACCAAGAAACTAGGCTCTGAACATGTGTATGTGTGTGTGAGGTTTCTAAATTGCAAGTCATAAACACAATCATTTATTATCATGTGAAAGGGGGGAAGCTCCATTTGGAGCTATTTCACATTGCTGATTAGAAAGAATCAAGCTTTATATTCCAGGATCCATTCACGCTGGTGGAAACATAGTCAGTTTTGATTATGAAGGGAGAGATGCAGCCCTAGACAGGAGCTCCACACTGATATGCATGCTATCAGAATGATTTATGCAAATTATGCATATTATTCCCAAAGGAATTCCTCCTCAAACTGCCAGGATAAATCGCCGGAAATTAGCCATAAAATCTGCCGTGCTAGGAGCAAAAGGTGAAGGCCACTGGGATAGCAAGGACATTCGGCTTCTGGAATCTTCCAGGATATGATGATGGTGAATGTTATTCTCCCTGGATAGTGAGGAAAATGTGGTTTTCTTCCTAATCCTATAAAAATGTGTTCCTTGAGAATTTTCCAGCAAATGCTGACTCATTCTATTTACAGCTAGCATATAAGAAATTAAGTGTTAAGGTGTCTCCAAATGCACCTACTACAATTACCTTCTTGTTAACTGCCTGAATGCTATTAAGTAGCTAAGCCTGGCTTTACAGGCATGCTCCTCTAAAGACTGGTGAAGTAACCCTCCAGCAGTGTGCTGTGAGAGGGGTATAGATTCACGTTACTACGCTTGTGCTCCTAACAGATGAGTCCTTTCTTGGAGACCGTTCCTCCTTTCCTCTGTCCATAGACAGCACGGCTACCTCCTGCCTGTAAATCCTCAAATGATGTCGGGGCAAAGCCCCCGAGTTCTTTACTCTCAGCATCCAAAGCGTCGTTGACTCTCTCTTAGGTATCAATGGATGTGAAGAAATTATTTTCCTACCAGGCGAGGTTGTTGTTAATGAGTTCTAGCAGCCAACGGAGGCAGCTTCTCAAAGCGCTCACTCATGTTACAAGGGCTGTGGTTTGTTTTCCTCAGAAAGCACCATCCTCGAGGTCCTGCGGCTCTGCTCCTACTCCACCATCTTTCGTGAAGTGCAGGAGGATATGAATTTCAACTCAGAGACGAGCAGTTACTGTCTGCGGAAGGGAGACTTTGTAGCCATCTTTCCCCCAATCCTACACACTGACCCAGAAGTCTTTGAAGCTCCAGAGGTAAATAAGCATCGTGTCTGGTTATTGCTGCCCAGTAAGCAAGCTCACTCCTGCATCCTTCCCCAAATCTCTCACTGGAGATTTGAGGCAGCTTGCTGATGACTTCTCTATTTTCCTCTAATAGGAAGATTTTTGCCTTTACAGAAGTTTTTCCCCCCCCTAAGAATCTGCCTTTGACAGGTTGTGTGTGGTCTGTGAACAAAAATTCAGGTAAGTCTAAATGCTACTTAATTCAAGTGAAATGGACATTTTACCCTAGTCACCTATTGCTTTTAGCCACTGAATTAGAGTCTCTTTGACAAGGAATTACTGAAATCCAAGAGGGCTAGCTACTGATATGTGCCATAAAAATTAAATAATAATAACTAGTTTGCTAAGCTCTTCCAAAATGAAGCTACTTCAGACGTCAAATACCATCATCACTATAGTTAGGACCAAATAGCAGTTAAGCCCTTTTAGCTAAAGGTATGTGGCCCTGCTTGATCAATTAGCATGGCACTATGAACTTCAAATTGTAAAGCCGCCGCTCCTGGGTGAAGCTCTGAGGGTAATTGTGTCATCTCCTTGTATTTTTTTTCTGAAGCTGGAGTTAATGAATATCAAAGACTGGAAATTAATCCACCTTGGTTCATCCCTTAATACCACTTCAGAGTCATCCCCTGCATGCAAATTGAATGCAGCTATAGTCTGCTTGTGCTTGGCAGGAGGTGATGCTGCTGACTTGTAACATTTACCATCCACCTTTTTAGAAGGAAACTTCCATCCTCCTTTCAAATACTCCATAGATGGACCACTTTCAAACACAGGTTCAAAGATAGATGATCTGCAGCCAACCTGAATTATAATATTATTGAATTTAGGAAATTAATAAAACGACAGACTTCAGAACAGTGAAATGATTTGTATTTATTTAACCAGCAAAGCCAATGTCTCATTACAGGGGGAAGTGTGCATGGTTTCTTAGGTGAGGCATTATGCAGATAAAGACAGCAGAGAAACCATAGAGTTTCAGCCAATGAAACAGAGAACAAGCTGCACCTCTGCAGTTGTGAATCATTCCAATTGTTAGTATATAGTCAATGAATAACACAGCTGAAATTAATATCTGAAAAATATTTGTAAAGGTTAAAATAGCAACACTTCTTACAATTTTACACTTCTGCTTAGGGTTTTCTTTGTGATTATTTGATTGGTAGGGGAGTTTATTATTTGTGTCATGAGAGTTAAATCAGAATTATTGTTGTCATCAATTAAGAAATGTTCACCAGATTGCCACCATCTTCATAAGTACCTTTCTTTGTGCTTTTTCTACCTCTCACTCTTCTACCCCCTTTAAAAAAATCTGATTGATAACTTTAAAAATTTGAAAGCCAGAATTATACATTATGAGAGCTAGGGTCAGGCATGATGGTAGAAAGGCCATCAGATCTCTGTATGCTTAAGCCAGCCTGGACTACGCAGCACATTCCAAACCATCCATGGCTACATAGAAAGACTCTCTCTCTCTCTCTCTCTCTCTCTCTCTCTCTCTCTCTCTCTCTCTCTCTC